GGCCAATTTCGCTTTTCCGGGTAACACACTGATTTTTTATTTTTTTAATTTTTTTTTAAATTATTATTATTTTTCGCGGGAAACTGCAAAACCGTGACGAGGACCGGAGGAGTGATGCTTGCGGTTGCGGTTTGTATTCGCTTTTCTCGGTGAAGAGCCTACGCTATATTCCTTTTTTTTCTTCTTTTTTTTTTTTTTTTTTTTTTTTTTTTTTTTTTTTTTTTTTTTAAGAGAACACTGTTTGCAATGTCAATTGGAAATCTCTGACTTTTCGAACGGGAAGCTTAAACTTCGTCAGGACAGAAGCCGGTTCGGGCCCTTTTAGGGCTCCCCTCTAAAGTTTCTCCAAACTTTTCGGGTTGGTCAGTATCTCCCTGGCCAGCCGCCACGTCTGTTTGGCCGCGTTTTCCAGGGCCGAGTGAGGTTTGCCCTGAAAGAGGTCTAAGTTGGGCAAGAAGTAGTGCGGGCACCTCCTGCACTGCAGGCAGGAGATGAGCTGCAGCAAAATCCCGTTGAGCCGATCGCCCAAGCACGACTCGTCCCAGTCCGACTCCCGCGGGTGCTTTTCGCATTCGTACGAAACGAGAGTCTTCATGTGGTAGTTGTTGAGCGGCTGGCCCGGCAGCTCCAGGTGCCGGTCCCGCAGCGTTTTGAGGATGGAAAGGCATTTCTTCCTGCAGCCGCCCATCTGCAGTCTGTTCTCGGCTTCGGCGAACTGCAGCACCCAGGCGTCGCTCTCGGCCGAGCTCTGCTTGCCCGCCAGCGAGTGGCACTCCTTGGAGAGCAGGTTGAAGCCCTCCGCCTTCACCTCGGCCACGCGGTTGGGGCCGGGCCAGGGGATGTGGGGCAGCGGCCAGTGGGCAGCGCTCCGCGGCCAGATCCCCGTGCACTTGAAGGCGGGCGTGATCTGCACCACGTACCTGTCCCTGATCCTCAGCTTCACCTCGCTGGTGTCCGCCACCATCTTTACCACGTCCCTGTAACTGCACTTATCCACGGCTTGGGCCACCAGCGTCTGGAAGCGGGAGCGGATCTTGCGGGCCGAGAGGTAGCCCGAGGCCGTGATGAATTCCACCCAGAGCGACATGCTCCGCTTGCGGCCGTCGCTCAGCTTCAGCACGGCGCAGCCCGGCAGGGAGCCGTCGTCCACGAAGTTGAAGACCCCCATCTGGTTGAGATAGAGCACCACCTCGAACTCGGTGGGGGAGATGACTTCCAGGCCCTCGTAGCGGTTGTCCATCTCGTTGAGGGAGCTGATGAAGCGCGGCTCCTGCACCTCCACCTCCTTCAGCACGTCCGACACCACTTTGCACACCTCGCGGATCGTCTTGGCGATGGCGGCTTTCCTGGCTTGGCACTTCTCGTTGTAGTACTTGTTCAGGTGGTACACCAGCTTGGCCTGGGCCGCGATCATGTTGGGGCAGAGATCCGGATTGTACACCGGAGTCTCGCAGTAGGCTGTGGGATCCAATGCGGCTGCTAAGGCGGGAGCCAACTTCGGGGAGAATCGGGCTGCCGCCTCCGGAGTGGAACGCGCGGCTCCCGCGGGCGGCGGCTGCTCCTCGGATGCTCTCTTCCTGCTTTTTGGGATCGGCCGCGGCGGAGTGTGCGGGGCGGGGGGGCGGGCGGGGGGCCGGGGCGGGGGGGGGGGGGGGGGGGCGATGCTTTTCCTCCCCCTTCTTTTAAAGGGTCCGGGAGCGAGAGGAGAGCATCGAGAGCTGCACCTTCCCCGGCAGCGAGAAAAACAAAAGTTGCACTGAGACACAGCGAGCCTTCCAGTAGTCGAAATAAGAGAACCTCTTCGTATTTATTTACGTTTTCCCGTAGTAATCACCGTGTGTGTGCGGGGCGGTTAATCAGACGGTGGAAAAAGTGCCGCGTGTGTGTGTGGATATGTCAGAGGCGCTGCCTCTTGGTTTGTATAAGAGCCCAGATGCACTCGTGTGGAAATTATAAAGGCAGGGCCAGGCGGGCGGGCGGCCAATCGCCACTGGGCTCGTCACTGCAGCCTCTCGCGGCTCCAAGCCGGCTAATTAATCCCTCTCCAGGAGATAGATCTGTGTACACACACACACGCACGCACATACACACGGCAAGGCGGTGACGGGCAGAAAGCCCCCGCTCCTCCGCGCGGTGGGAAATAGATGGAAGCCGCTCTCCTTTGCCTTCGGCTCGGGCGGTGTTGGCGCTTCGGAAGGACTGGCACACAGGTGTGGGGCACGCACCCCGCGCACCGGCCCCGGCCTCAGCCCCAGCCCCGTCCGCCTCCCTCCGCCCGGCCCTGCTCGTGCCCGTGGGAGAGTTCTCCTCCCGTCGGAGGGGCCGCCCAACGGGGCAGCTTATCGGCGGCGATTCAGAGCCCTTCGGAATAAAACATTCCTCCAAGCTCCGCGATTCGCGTGCTTTTAGCAGATCGAATCGATGCGGAGGCTTAGCGCGTTTCGGTTTTTTGTGTTTGTGCCTTATGAGAGTAGAATCAATAGCTGAACGTCTTGTTGGCTTTCCCTCCAAGGAACCAGCGGCGGATAGAAGGGAAAATCCCATCCGCTGCTTCCCCGCTTCGTGCCCGCACCCCGCGGTGCGCTCTGCTGTGTGCGGAGGTGCGCGCTTGGCTGCTCCGCGGGTATCCATTGAGTCGGAACGCGGCAGGGAAAGAGGGAGGGAGGGAGAGAAGGACGCAGCGGCCGCGGAGCCGCAGCCTCTGACAGCGCGGAGCCGGCGTGGGACGCGCGCTCGGCACATCCCTCCTTCAGTTCCTTCAGATCGGGACCTCGATCTGCAAAACACCCGGAGAGTCAAACTCTTCTGCTCTGCAGTATTTGCTGGAACAAACCCCTACGTTCTAAAAAAAAAGAAAAAGAAAAAAAGAAAAAAAAGAAAGAAAGAAAGAAAGAAAGAAAGAACTGACACCAAAGCTTTTCATCGCTTGTCTTTAAGGAATCCTTAAGCCGCTTCCCGATTATTAATTCTTAAAGTGGTGTCACAGCCCTGTCTTTCGCTGAGGAGAGGTCACGACGTTAGGCACTTTTCACGACATTCATTCACCGTATCCACACGACCAACTTTATTGCACAGAGTGAAGAATACTCCCACTCGGCGCTCGCCCTCCCTCGCTCTGGCTGCGGGCGCTCCGTGCCGCTTCCTCCAGGAAGCTGCTGGGAATCTTTTGCTGCCCATCGGTACTACAGGGCTCAGTGCCCTGGCCGCGAGACCGCAGGTGACAGCTCGGCCCGCAGCCGCCTTCCCTCTGGCGGCTCGGAGCCGGGAGGAGCCGCTCGCCGCCCGCCGCCCGCGTCTGGGGGCGGTTTCCCGGCGGGCGGGCGGGGGCGGCCGCCGAGTGGGCCCACGTGGCTCCCCCGGAGCGCTGCCGGCCCCTCTCCTTCCCGGCCGCCGCCGCTGCCGCCCACCCGGGCCCGGCCCGCTCCCCGCCGCCGGCCGAGCCGCGCGTCCCGCCCCGCCGCCCCAGAGCGCGGGGGGAAGGGGAAGCGGCGGAGCCGGGGCCGGCGAGCGGGTCCCGGGTCAGGAGGAGGCCCTCGGCGGTGCGGCCCCGCGGCGGTGCGTCCCCACCCCGGCGCCTCCCGGCGCGGAGTCTCCTTCCCTTCGTGGCCGGGGGCGGTGGCTGCGTGTCACCGGGAGCTCCTGAGCCGGTTGAAAACGAAAGTTGAGCCGCGCGGACGGAGGTTTTGCGTGCCCCGTCTCCTCCGAGGGGAACGGCCGCTTCCTGGGGATGACGACACGCAGCCCCAGTTCCGACACGCGATTAGCGTCGTCGGCCGCGCGACAGGGATGGGAAGCGTTCGGGAGCGGGGAGCTTTGTGCGCGCCCCGTAGGTTCCGCGGAGGTTTCTGAAGGCAGAAGTGCCCGTAACTGCCGGCACTCTGAATTTTCACAGTGTAGCAAAATGAATGGAAATCAAAATGACGCCCTGTGTGCCAAATCAGAGCTTTCCGTAGATGATATGAATATCAGATAATGCGTTTTATGTGTATTTGTTGTCTCTCGGTGGTGCGGGTGCGTTGTGAGTGTCAGACGTAGCGTGGGCTGGGTTATGGTTAGCGCTAAAGTTTACGATTAGTTTCGCTGCATCACTTGGGTTCACACGTAAAAACTACGCATTCGGCAGTTTGAAAATACGGGCATTTGGGCGTTGCTGCCACCGCTCAACCACTGAGATGTAAATGCGGGGGTGACCCGAGCGCCGCAAATGGCGAAAAGTCGGCGGTGTGGTTTGGGTTCTGAAAACGGTGATATATAACTGCCACTACGTAGTACAAAATAGGACTATCTGGGGAACTTCTGACCACTCGGTGCCGTTCGTTTTCCTTCGCGTTTATCGATGCGTCCTTAATAAATTATAAAAGGAAGGAACACCTTTTCATCACCGAGTTTTATTTTTATATGTATGGAGTTGTTCTGGGGATTAAAATCACCTCGTTAAAATGATGATTGATCATTTGTCATATTAATGGCACCATCTGATATTGGTGACTTTTACCAAATGGCTGTTTTCTAGCTATTTTCCCCCAATTAGAGCCCTATAGCTGCCTTTGGTGAACCCTACTTGTTATTTCACATCTTTCTAAGTGCAGTGCCTTGTCATGCGGTGTTCTCGTTAACCACAGTGCCAAACAGTGCTGAAAACGCCTGACTGCAGGTACTCGCACACGCCTCCAAACTGTACATTGGAAAAAAAAAAAAAAAAAAAAAAAGTTGCGTTTATACGTTTCACCAATGATTTCTTTTCATACGGTGAAAAATACGAGCTAAAAGGCACACGCAGATGCATATACACATGAAGCGCTTACACTGATAGCACTTTATATTCCGTATTATGTGGCGATAGTTCTTCCGCACGCAACTGCTCATGAATTTTAAAGTTTTATTTTTTAATATCTGCCTATTGCGCTGGGGAGCTCGGAAAAAATGAAGCGGAGTTGATTAAATTATTTATCCCTGCTGCTGAAGTGAGTTTGAAGGCTCATTGAATGGATCTGATTTCTTAGCTCCTCTTTCTCCCCTTCCCCCCCTCAATTCATCCTGGTTATTTCATCCATATCATCCTGCCAGCAACAATAAATCCACTATTTTTTTCTTTTTCCTTTTTAGCAAGTAGGAAAACTAAAGACAGATATTTGTGGAGACTTTGCTTTAAATGTCACATTATCTGAAGTGCGCAGCATCTTTTTTTTTTTTTTTTTTTTTTTGTGAAAGAAGTTGATGGCACTTCAGATTTTCTGTACTCTTATTTGCATTTTACTTTTTGACTGCACTTTCAAGTTTAGGAATGACAGTGCTAAGCTGGAATGTAAGTTACAGAGGGTTTGTAAAAGCTTGAATATGATGACGTTATACACTTCTCTGCTTAGATTTTGGTGTATACACTTATGTAGAACTATGTATTCAGATGTTTTTCTTCCATTATCTACAGTATTCTGTAGATATATTTTTTTTTACTTTTGGGGTAAAAAAAAAAAAGTATTCTAGCTCACTTATGCTATACACAATTCACATTCGTTAGTGCTAAACTTAGCGTGTGTACATTTTCACTTTTCATTAAAAATAAAAATATGAAAAGAGTTTGTGTCAGTGTTGGACTTTGTCACCATAGCTCACGCGGATGAACAGTTAATGCTTTAAATTCTTCTAATCTGCAGTCTGCTAAGGGAAAAAAACAGCAATTGATTTGTTGTCTTTAAAATGTTACATCTCAAAAGTAAACATAGAGCTCGCCCAACTGCAAATTGTGATTTTAGCTAGAGCTGCAGAAACATCCAAGCAGGAAAAAAATGCATTGAATTATTCATTTGGTTTGCTTCTACATCAGCTTCTCCAAAGCCAGACATTCCTTCAATACAGCATTTCATTTAGGGAGTCCAACGCTGCTGTTTAAAAAAAAAAAAAAAAAAAAAAAAAAAAAAGATCTCCTGCTTTGAGAGTGTTCTTTTCTGCTGCACTGAGAAGAGTATGGAATCAGTGGGGATTAGCGCCTTTTAATCTACTACATCTGTAGCAGGTCATCCAACACTGCAGAGCTCTCATTACTGTTTCGTGCTGCATATGATTAAATGACTGAAAATATTCAATGTTGACCTTGAAAATAAAGCCGTATGTGTTGGATGAGCAGCTTCCTGAGACTTCATCTCTCAGCTAACCTTTCCCCTTGGTAACTTCTATCCCTGGAATATGTTATCTGAGGGAAGACCAGAGCGTTAGAAAATGTCAAGACTAAAGCATGGTACTATGTGAAATAAACCATTATGTGAATTACAGCATCACTCAGCTTCTTCATGCTACATTTTATGAGAAAACCAACATCTTGTTTGTCCGTTCGAAGTGGGAGAGTGGTGTGTCTTCAACAGATACACTTTTGGGACCGACGTTTTTCTGTAAGCTTGTTTCATGTCCATCAGCAAACTCAACTACACACTCTTGCAGATAGTTGCTAGAACTGCTGAAATCTGCAGAGAAC